TTGTCTGCAGGAGAGCTTTTTGCCCAGGCTCCTATAGATCAATACCCTGGCATTGCAGTGGAGACTGTGGCAGATTCCAGCCGCTACTTTGTCATTCGAATTCAGGATGGGACTGGTGAGTTGGGGGCCAATGTACTTGCCAAGTACTCAGGGTGGATGAGACCCAGGTGGAGCTGGGAGTGTGCCAGGAGGATGAAAATGGTGTTGGGAATGCTGAAAAGACCATGTGGTGTGCCTGGAGGGGTCTGAGAGCAAGATAAACAGAGGAGGTTCTCTGGAACATTTGGTTTCCAAGCATGCCTTGTGGGAAGAAGGGTGCATCCTGAAGGCTAGTGACAGTGAACTGCTGGCATCCAGCTGCAGGTGTGTCAGAGCGAGGTAGCACAGGGTGGTTTAGGATAAGCAGAGAGATTTGTAGCGCAGTTGCAGGGTACCTCCAGTGACTCCTCCTGTCTCCTTGCTAGGACGAAGTGCTTTCATAGGCATTGGCTTCACGGATCGGGGTGATGCCTTTGACTTCAACGTCTCTTTGCAGGATCACTTCAAGTGAGTTTTGCTTTTCTGGAATGCTATTTTTCCTCTGGCCTGCAGAACATGGTGGGTGGTGGTGCATGTTCATTTAACACAGTTTTCCTTGGGGTGGCCCTGAAGGCCTGCTCTGGTGAGCACACTTGTGTGTGCTACCAGCTGTCGTGCAGGCTGAGAGCCCCTGCAGGATCAGATCTGTAAATCTTAAGCTTAGGTCCTGTGGTGCTGCGGGTGGAGTGTAAAACAGCCTTTTGGGTTTGTGGTGGTTCCAGCTTTGTGCTGACATCAGGAGTAGGGAGGTAGCTGGTTTGATGAGGCAAGGTAGTCTGGTGGGATGGAGAGAGAAACCACACACTTTACTAAAACACTGCTCTTTTTTGCCACAGGGTCTCATGTTTTCCTCTCTTCTTTTTAGGTGGGTGAAGCAGGAAACTGAAATCTCCAAGGAGTCCCAGGAAGCTGACACCCGTCCCAAATTAGACTTAGGGTTTAAGGAAGGGCAGACCATCAAACTAAACATTGGGGTAAGAAGACCAGTTTACTCTGCTTCTTTCTCTGGATGTGCTGATGGAGACTCTTCTTTACACTTCCTTTTTTTAAATTTTTTACTACAGAACATGACGTCAAAGAAAGGAGGAGCAGCCAAGCCCCGTGTGTCTGGGTCAGGGGGCCTAAGCCTGCTGCCACCTCCACCAGGAGGCAAAGTTGCAGTCCCTCCTATTCCTCCCCCTTCTTCCACAGCCATTGCCAACCATGTCACACCACCACCCGTGCAGAAATCCAGTAATGCGAGCAGTGCAGGTAAACCTTAGCACTGAGCCAGCAGTTTGTAAGACAATGGCAGGTGTTGCTTCAGGAAACCTGTGTTCAACCTATTGCCAGCAGTGCCCTCTGAGACGTGGTGTGTCCCACCACAGACCAAAGGTCTTGGTCTCCTTGGCAGCTCCAGTGTTCCCAGTGCAAGAAAGTGTAATGGGTCCAGAGGAGGGCCATAGGAATGGTCTGAAGGCTGGAATACCTCTCCTGTCAAGAAAGACTGAGAGGGTTGGAGTTGTTTAGTCTGGAGAGGACAAGGCTCTGGGAAGACCTTTCACTATGTAAAGAGAGCTTGTAAGAAAGATGGAGAAAGAATTTTACCAGGACTTACAGTGACAGGGCAAAGGGTAAAGGCTTAAACTGAAAGAACAAAGATTTATATAATGAATAAAATAATTCATATAATAATTCAATATAACAATGGCACAGCAGTGGGACTAGAGGAAGTGATCTTTGGAGGTCCTTTCCAACTTAAATCGTCCTGTGATTCTGTAACAAAGAGGTTGCTGCAGTCTTCTGGATGCTGTGCAGAAAGTGTGACCATGCAAAGGTGTCTGGAGAGCTGATGATCATTTTGTGAAGGCAGAGACTTCAGCAGTGCTGTCCATAGGTTTGAGTGAAAAGAAACCATGAGCTTCTGAGTAGGGCTCATGTGGTCCCAGTGTGTGGTTTGTACTGGTAAGGTGGTGCCTGTTTGGCAGCTGTTGGGATTGCTGGGCTTGGGTTGAGTCTGAGCCTTGGTCTGCTGGGAGAGTTAATAAGTGACAGATGCGTTAGTTGGTGTGCTGAGTGAGACTGCATAGTTCCTGAAGACAATGTACCCTTGCAGTGTCAGCTGGAGGTGTGCACATTCAGCAAAAATAGATGCTGTTACAACAAACCCCTCAAAAAGTCTGACTTCTGCAGGGAAAGCTGGAGTCCCTTTAAAGATTTTCTGCCCCTGCATCCAGGAGTTTGTTTACGGTGACAGTTAAAATGCCTGTAGGGTTTTATGCATAAGCCAATGTATTTTTTCTCTTTATCTCTCTCTTCTGCCTTAGATATTCTTTTAGACTTGGATGCTCCTGCAGCTGCATCCGAGGCACCAGTATCAGCTACCACAGACCTCTGGGGAGACTTCAGCACTGCATCCAGGTAAACTGTGATGAATGGAACACAAGAAGGGTACTGGCCTGATGGGTGTGGGAGGATCCAGAAGTTAAGAAGTCTTACTAGATCTGCTCATCTGATTTTCCTTTTTTTGTTTCAGTGGTGTTCCCAATCAGGCTCCTCAGCAGTCCAACTGGGTCCAGTTCTGAATGATCAAAGCAGTGGAATGGGACAAATTGATGACCTAGAGGCACCAAATGGGATCAGAGGGGGCACAAACCTCTCTAGTCTTCAATCAAATTGGGACAATCCTTCATTTTTAGATCAGACCTTCACTTAAACTTACTATTTTTGGTCCCACTGAACCTAAAGAGAACATATACTGACTCCTCCCAAGACGGGCAAGGAGGAAGGAGGTAGCCTTACCTCCTGCATCCACTTGGCCATTACATGGTACATCCTAGTTCTTTTCCCCTGTCTTTCCACACAGGGAATGCGAGAATCTTGAAGAAAGTGGGTACAGGAGGAGGCTGGGTAGGTGCCTCTGGGTTCCTTGTCCTTCAGATTTTCTCTGGCTAGGCTGTTGCTTTTTGTGGCTGCTTTCAGTAGTGACTGCAGCCCTTGCAGCTTGCGGTGCTGAGGACAGCTGCATTTGGCTACACCTGCTAAATGGAACTTCTAAGGAGATAGGTCTTGTCTCAACACAAAATCCTCTTGGGTTAATGACATCTGTGGTGAGCAGTGACCCTCCCCATGCACACACTACTCTTCTGTCTTTGGTGCAACTCTTGGTAGTGCTGCATGTCCTCGTGCTCCTGTGGGAGGAGTCATGCGAGTCCTTGAGTAGACCTGCTGCCGATGCGCTGTAGTTCCAGATGGGCACCCCACCTCGAGGCTCCTGATTTGGCTTGCAGGTTCACTGGAGGAACTTCTCTCATTTTAACTCCTTTCTCCCCAGGCAAAGGCCTCACTGTCACTGAGCTGTTTTAACTGGAAATAGCTTTAAGAAAAAAAAAAGCCTGTTTTTACAATTTGGTAGTTACTTGCACTAGATGACAACCAGGTGATTCCCACCACTCAGCATTTCATGTTCCTGCATCACTATCCTGAGCCTTGGCCTTGGTGTTGTGACTTGGCACTGTGTTACAAGTATTGCATATGTACAGAAAGAATTATGGTGGGACAATAGATTATTCTCTGATGAAGGGACAGTTTCCTTACCTTTTCAACTCACTCATTTGACCAAGAAATGTATAGTAGGCTCAATCCTGAGATCTGTGGGAGCAAAATTCTCCCACCTGTGTTCCTTATTAGACTTTTCTTCTGAGTCCAACTTTCAGGGATGTGAGCTAATTATTGAACCTTTGATTTTATTTTTTTTTTTTCTTTTATTTCTAATGTTTCCAAGTCCTCTCTATTTCCTGTGTGGTTAAGGGAGTTAGAAAGAGGTAAAAAGCCATGACTTTCTACATTTTTTCTTTGAGAGAGTTTCCTGAGGCCCTTCACTGTGGACACTACTTCATCTTCAGCAGCTGTGGATGTGATCTGGGGTGTAAGTCTGTTGATTACTCTGGGTGAACTCACAGGGCAGGCTGGAAACCTCACAATGCTGAATTGCTACCCTTCATGCTGGCACAGAACCCAAAACACTAGCTGGGAAGATGGTCTCATTGACTCTTGGACAGCTGTACCCAGTTACAGGAACAGTAGGGTCTTGGTGCTTTGCTGGAAGGCTACTTCCTGTTTTGAACTCTCAACACAGCAACATTTTTGTGTCTTTAGCGCACCTTCACAGGGGAATGTTTCCCTTTGGGCAAAAATTTTCTGGTGAGGCTTGTAAAAGCGTAGTTAGATGTATGCCCCTTGTATTGGCAAAGGTCTTTTGTCATGTTTGTCTGGCTACAGTGGGGGCATTTTGGAGACAGTTTAACTTAGACCATCCCTCTGGGGAGCAACATTCTTGAAATAGCTCTAAAGCTGCTGCAGTTCCACTTGCGGAAGTGGGGACCAGTCTGCTCTTGGATGTATTTTAAGTAGTCATTTAACCCTGATTCCCTGGCTCTCTTGGTGTTTCCCCCTGCCAGCCCTCCCCTGCCTTCATAGTCACTCCTGCAGTCTCACTGTACTTCAACTCCCTGCCTCCTGAACTTGTGGATGGCTGTAGTCTGCAAGCAACATCACAGACTCTGCTGGGTTGGCGTTTTGTTTTCTTTGTCTTTTTGTTTTCTCACGTCCTTGTGAGGTCCTGTCATTTCAACTATGTATCAATTCCCCAACCAAGGAAGCTCATGGCACCAATTAACAACTAACTAGGAGCCTCTTCTGTATTGTCTTAGTATTCTGGAGATAATATATTATGTATTTGAAAAGCTGAAGAAGCAAAATTAAAGATATATGTATATAAAGCATAAGATGTACTGGTGCAAATGGTAATTAAACAAGTAATACTGGGGAAAACAATGTCATGAGTCTTCTAAGTTGTCAAATTGTTTCTGCTTTGGAAGCCTCTAGGTTGAAGGTCTTCATGTCTCCAGCAAGATCCTCACAGCCTACTTATCCTTCTGCATGTGTTGTGGCCTGCAGAGTGGACAAGAGCAACTTCAGGAGTGATGGGTTCAGGCTCTGTCTGGGCAAAGAGGTAGGAGTGTGGAAGAAGGACACAAAAATTACATGGCTGTTCAAAATGGGGTAAAAAATGCATACAATACCAAACATGAATCAGCAGTATGGAAACAGGCCTGATGTAGGTTCCTATGGGACTTGGTAAGAGTATGGATAAAATGCACAAGTGAGAAGACTTGGTTGCTCAGATATTTAGCATCTCAGACATTAACGGCTTCTACAGCCTGCAGATATTTTCAGAAATTATTCTCTCCATGCTGGTAGATGGGAAACAGTCTCTGCCTACTAGAGATGGGTGAGGTGACCCAAGTGGGCCCTTTGTTGGGGGCAGCAAGGACAGGCTGCCTAGGAAGAGAGAGGAAGTAGGAAGATAAGTGACAGCAGAGCAGGCAGGGGCACGGGCCTCACTAGCAGAGTGAGCAGTCCTGAAGTACCAAAGCACAAAGATCAGAGCAGGTCAGGATGAGGATTTAGATAGCAGGGTACATAGCCAGACTGGGACATGGCTGGGCATGGCTGTGCTAACTCAGGCAGGGACCAAGGGTGAGACCCTTAGCTGTGATAAGCCAAATGTTGCTGAGTTTTCTCAAAGCCAAACACCTCTATTTGCTTAAGCTGGACCTGAGTCCAGCTGATCCCCCAGGAGGTGAAGAATATGTTCAGGGCCTTGACATTGTTCTGTCAAGCCTGCTTGTAGCCATCTTGCACAGCATGCTGGCTCCATGTTCCTCTACCTGACAACAAAGCTGTGTATTTATGGCTGTGTTGAAAGTACAACACAGGTCTTGTAGCCTGGGTAAAGATAAGAAGTCTTAACCTTCTAAGTCAGCTATTTGAATTGTCTAACATTCTAGTGTCTGTAGCGACTGGGGAAAAAAAAAGACATTTTTTCAGCTCTGGGACCAAAGCTTTTACCCTATTTTGGTAAATGGCATGGGTATGTTGTATACATCCTGGCAGGGAGAAGATGAAGTATTTTACCCATAAGCTATGGTGGAGCTTCTCAGATTTTTCAGTAGGTACTTGCAGCAGGAAGAGTTGAAAAGCCTAAAAGGGTCTTTCTCTAGAGTAGGAGAATTTTCAGATGAAATTCCCCTAAGGGAAGTGCTGGGATATACTCGTGTTTGTGCATAAAGAAGCACAGAAGATAGGGAAACAGTACATGAGAGAGAGCCTAGTCCAGTGTGGAGATGTTCCCAGGCCCCATGCCTTTCCTCACAGCAAGGCCTGCTAGAATGCACAGCTTGGTGAGTCCTGTGCAAGTCTTCCCTTTATTCCAATTGGGAGACAGACTGTAGCACACAGAATCAGGAAACAAGTGTCAAAGGGAAGAGCCTAGTTTTGTCTGGTTTTTGGTTGTCAATTCTTCCGTGGGACCTGTAGTTGAGGTGGGATGTATTTTTCTGCCCCTTCTCCCATTAATTATATTCTGTGTTCTGTGACTTTGTGTCAGAGCCATGCAGCAACTGTTCTTACCACAGCCACACAATAAGGATTGCAGACAAAAACCTGCCAGATTTCACAAAGCCTTGATGCTGTGTTTGGACTCCTGAAGAAATAGAGAAGGGCTGTACATTGGAGGAAATCAAACAAAAACCAAACAGGAAACCAAAACCCTCAAAGTCTTCCTGAGCTTTGATAAGGAGGTAAAAGGATCTGAATCTGAACTCATCCTGCTAAATCAGCATAAACCTACAAGGTTCTAGGAGGAAGAATGGGGCTGTTAATGTATATTAGCAGAGTGCTGTGGCCCAAGTGGTTAACACACATTGAATGCCTCCAAGTCTAGGTAGTCTGATGAGTGCTCATTACATTATATGAACAATAGTCTCATTCTCAGACTGTTACTGGTCTCTTTCTTCCAAGATAATAGCTAACAGTGAGGGAAAACACTGGATGACAGCTTAATTTTGCCACCTTCCATTACCTACAGCTGTATGTCCCCATCCAGAGCTGGGGCTCTGATGGACATTCCTTGAAGCTGAGCATAGGAAGATCAGCCAGCAACAGCCTGCATCCTGACCAGAGCTGTGTTTTCCAGTCACTGCTGGGGTCCTGCGGTGGACTTCTTGCATCACTTGTGTTCGGGGCAGGCCAGGCGGGTAACTTGCAACAAATAGCCTGCTCTCCCTTTTCTTTCCCAGGCATTGTAGGATGTCAGCTCCTGCATGTTGAGGCAGAGGCAGCCTGCCTTGTTTAATCTACTGGCTTTTCAAGCCTTGAAGCAGTCTGAAGAGACATTCCCTAAAGGAGGGAGCCGCCTGTAACTTGCAGCCCTTGTGTTGAGCCTTTTGTGTTAGGCACGTACAGAGGTGTGGCACTCCCTGCCCTCCCGAGCCTGGTCTGCGAGCCTGGCTGGGCTGATGGCACCGGTGACCGGGCGCTGAGTTCAGTCTCACCCGCGGCCGTGTGCTGCCATCTGCTGCCGAAGCCCATTGTTGCGGGCTTTCCTGCAATCCCTGGGCTCAGCCACCGTCTCCGGGGACTGCTTGGGCACCCAGAAGAGAGGTGGCAGGAGGGATACAAGCAGACATCACCTGAGACCTGGCTAGCACTGGTAGGGTGCTCTCTGAAAAGAAATCACAGCTGGTGATTTGTAGTTTGATAGTTTTGCAATGATGGAACTGGTGCTTCCAAATGTAGCCGTGTCCTCCTGCTCTACTGCCGTCTGTGCTTCAGAGGCAGGCTTTGTGCCCTCATGCACAAACATAGTAATGTAATGTTGGGCTTGGAACTGAGCTGTCCCAGGGCAGGCACACAACCCCTCTTGTGGCCAGTGTGCATAACGGTATGGATGTCTGTTGTCTTTAAAGTTTGGCCCAAAGGAATGGAACTCCTAGTCTTTTTTAAAGTGGTGGCTAAGCACTCGTTCATGAGTCCATGTTTATGGTGTTAAGCAAACTGTTCAAAGATGTGTAAGATGCTGTGGTTTTGGTGCTACACAAACTGTCCCTTTGGTTAGCTGGCAGGGACAAGGAGCTGGATTCCTGTGAGAGGTAAGGGATAGGAGAGCATTTTCTTTGAAGAATATATGCTAAGTGGCTATAGATACAGCTGAATGTCTGGTCCAGAGTTAGGGGCTGCTGTCACGAGTACCTAAAGCCAAAGTCAATACCATGGGCACATGTACAAAGTGTGCTTGGAATTCACTCTTTTTGGGTAGAAAACCAGGAAAACCCTTAAGTGATACATCCCATACAGAAACAGGGTTACTGTAAGCAGATAACCTGCCCTGGGTAGCCTGGTCTAGCTCCAAAATAGTCCTGATTTGAGCAAGGTTTCTCCAGTCAGAAGTATTTCCTAGAACAACTTTTGTGCTTCGCTGTGCTGCAGTGTGTCCCATGCCGGGCCAGCAGTGTGGTGAGATGTCTGATGTGAGGGGCTGGTCAGTGAAGAGGAACGCTGAGATCTGGCAGTCATCCTTCCCCTCTGAAAGGGCAGAGCTCTACAAAGACCAGGATGGTGTGCTGAGCCTGTGCTGTCCAGTCTTAACATGATAAATATGCAAATAACTCTAATCCAGAGGCAGAGTCTAAGAGATGTGGGCCAAGGTGCTGTAGGCCATTGTGAGTCATCAAGGAGCACTTTGCCTTCTTCATCAGTCCCAGCCAGCAGGGAGTCAGCAGCAGGGGCCCTTTGCCCTCTGGGTCAATGCAAGCTCTGTGCTGGCACCCTGGAGCGCCATTTGCCCACCTTTTGCTTTCCTGTGCTGACTTCAGTGTCCTGGCAGGGTAAAAGTGGGTGACACAGGCACCTGGAGAGTGTGCTCTTAAAAAAAAATAAATTACTTTTCCCTATCTGATGGCATTGACATCTGTGTCATGAGGAGGTTCCTGTATATGGTTGAACCCCATAGTTTGGGGCCTCCCTGCCTGCATTAAAACTTTCCCATCATTGTTTCATTGATGAGGTACCAAGGAGTGTTTGGTTGAGCTGACTGTACTCCCTGGATTTTGTTCAGCTTTCTATGGCTGTTTCCAGATGGCTTTTGCTTTGTCCCATCCTGACTGGACACATGGGATGGCTGCTCTTGAGGCAGGGGCTGGGAGGCTACAAGTGGCCTGCAGGGGCACCTTGGCTGCAGGATAAGGGGCAACACAGGTCACTTGAAGTCTTCCTGATAAATCCACCCTTGAGGATAGGAGGGGGTGAGGGAGCTCTGCACTGCTGGGGAGGTTTGTGCTGCTATTCCAGTACCACCTGCTGGGACAGCTTAACCAGTTCAGCTCTCCCCAGAACCTCCCTATGAGAATGTTTTTTACTGCATCCCACTAACATGCATGGAGAGGATGTAGAGGGTAACAGTTTAAGAGTGACCCTAATGCATGAGTCTGGGTGACTTTGTGTGACAGCCCCATGCTTGCTTGGTGACTGTGCTTGTTTTCCATTTTTTTTCTTTCCTTTCTACTCCCCTCATTCCCCCTTCAACAGAGGAAGATGACATGCATTCATCTGGGCAGAGAGTAGCCAAACAATTCAAGGCTGTGGAGATCTGTGTGGTCCTTAGAACTGGAAATGAAGTATAAAGAATTGCTTCTGTGGAGAGGTGTTATGTGGCCACAACTTGTGTATGCGAATTCCATATGCCCACTCTAAGATAAACTCCACAGCCTCACCTCTGAAAACAAGCCCCTGGGGTCTGACCAGGACTTGAATCTGGCCCAGGTTTGAAGTCAGATATGGTGCTGTGGCAAGCAACTGTAGTATCTGGTTCTGATCTCCAACAATTTATAGCCTTGAGACTTGTGACTCAGATCCAAAAGAGAAAGGAGACAAAGGTAAAATGTTCCCAGTAATGGCATAAAACACAGCTTTGAGGTTACTGCATCTGCATGTGCCCTCTGTTGGGCTTTGATTTGGTAATCTGTTAATTGGGGGAAATAAATAAAACATATCTTTGCTCTTCTGAAGAAAATCCTCTGTTAATGCTATATGTGAAGAGGCAGGTTGGGGCTTCTTGTCTCTTTGAAGATTCTCTGGATCATGTTCTTCCTTTTCTTATTAATTGCCTTACACCTGAGGGATTTTGGTAACCTACCATCACACTAGAGTGAGCACACGACTTACCCTTCCCAATTCTCACTGAGTTTGAGCTTGCTCAGCTCAGGTAACTTTGGGACATGAAGTCCCAAAACCTTGCTTGAAACCCTCAGCACTTACTAGAACTTACTAAAACTTGGCAGGGCTGTGGCCATGGGAGAAATGCACAAGCTGTTTTTGAGAGGAACGTTTCTTTTCGTCACTCCTAGTTTTCTTTCGTTCCCCTGTGTTCTGCATGCTACTGTAACCATAGCATTTTGGGGAGCTGCTGATCTCTGGCAATGTATTTGTGTCATGCTGGATGGTTCTGCTCAGGATTCCCTGTCTTTCTGCCAACTCAGGCCTGCCTGTGGTGAAGTGCTGCCACCTGCCAGAAACTTGTGTGGCTTCACAGTGCTACCTTCTGTTTAATCCATCCCACTCATTGCTCTCACTCCCCTTTCCCACTGTCCATTCAGTACTTCCAAGTTTCCTCTTCACCCCTGGATGCTCAAATGTCTCTTTCCTGTGCTTTCACAGCTCCATATAAGCCATTTTTTCCTTGGTCTCCTAGCAACCTGTATGGAACCCTGGTTCATCTTCTACCATTAAAGGGGTTGACTGCCTTCCAGAAGAGGTCTCTTCTCCCTGTGGCTCTGGCCAGTGTCAGCCCTGGCTGAGAAGGGCATAGGGTGCCTTTCTCTCAGATCCCAGGAGGCTGCTATGTTCCCACACTGTCCCCTGGAGGAGTACAAACTGCAGCATCCCACCTCTCACTTCTCTAACCATGCAGCAGGGTACACAATGGGATCACCTTATTGCTAGACTCTCTCTAACCAGCCAAATCCCTCAGGAGCTCTTGAGGAGGTCTTGCTGCCTGAATCCCTTTGATTTGTTATCTGACATCCCTTATTAACTGCTCAATGTCAGGCCTTGGGTCCCCATTCTCTGTGTTCCAGTGCCATTTTATGCTCTTCCCCTGGCTGCTCTGCTCCATAGTTTTAATCCCTAAAAAGGAGCAAGGTGGTGTGGAGAGGGAAGACCAAGAAGGTGGCATATATTCACTTCTGATGCTCTTTTTACCCAGGGACAGGGATATAAAGCCTGGATTTGGTTTAGGCTTTTATCTAAGTGACCTGGAAGTCTGCGCTAGCTACAAGTGCCGTAAAAGTAGGTGATGCCAGGACTGTAGGCAAAGACCCACAAGAGGCAGGATTTCCTTACAAGAGTTACATTGACTCTTCCCGAAGTATATCATACTTATACACGTGTCCATCAATTAATTATTTTGTTACATTAACCTGACCACTAGAGATGTCAAACCTTTAACTTCCTAAATCTCCCTGAGACTTCCCTTCTTTGATATGTTCCCTGCCAGCCTGGGATTCGTTGATTAGAAGATAGTTTAAGGCAAAAGGTGACCTACCGCTATTAACAAGTGTTTCACCTTTGAATTTCCTGAGAATCCCTGGGACCATCTTGGCCAGACCTGCTATTTCCATAGGTTTTGCACAGTTACTTTTATTTTGGACAGATCCTTTGGTGTAGTCTCCACAAACCAGGGTTCTTGTGTGTGAATTTCACCAATTTATTCTATTGTGCCATAAATAATTAATTTAGCTTTGTTTTGATGTCCTTGTTCTCTCTGACTGCTTATTTTATGCCCTTCTCTCCAGTTGCCCTCAAGGCAATATATCAAATATAAAGGGTACAAGGAAGTTCTGACACCTTTGCTTTGTTATGGTTTTGCACTTACTAGAGGTCATGCTCATTTCAATTTTCCTCATTTGGATGCAAGGTCAGCTTGTTGAAAAACGTATTGATAATTCCTTTGGGAAATAATTTTAGTCATGTCATGTCAGCTGCATTTTGCCTTTTGTCAAATCTTCTAAAGAAGGTCTAGGTATTTGGATGGCCAATGTGATGTTCCTGTGTAACCTCTGTGTCACTTATGATAACTCACAAGCCTCCATCTCAATTCCCTCAGCCTCCTCTCTCTATTCAAACTGGCTTGTAAGAAGTGTGTCACTTCCCTGCGGCTTCCACCATAGCTGTGGTCAATTTTAAAATGGGATTTTGGAATGTATGGGATCAAAGCTTTAGGATTTGAGTTATACTCTTTGCCTATAAATTTGAATTTAACTCCTCAGGTTCAGCTGGATTTTCAAAAGGAGTAAGGCATGTGCAATGACACTGTTTCATCTGTTCACATGGACCTGCTTGCTAAATTGGGTGATGCTGGCTGTGGGGTGAAATTGCAGATACCACCTTATTCAAACCTCATGGACAAGTAGGGGAGAAAGAGCATAAGTGCCTCTGCTGCCTTCTCTTTGAGTCAGAGACAAATGATGGCCATGGAGCTTGCAGAGCAACCAGCAGCTGGAGCACGCATAAGGAGGGAGAGCAGAACTGTGAGAGTTCCACAAAAGAGCTGGGGCTTGTGAGGCACATGGGAACTGAGAGCATGGGAGGCACCTGGCAGTGTGGGGTAGCGCTGAGCTGAAAGACATCTGTGGGGAAACACAGGTATTGTGGGAAGACAAGGGATTGAGCAGAACACAGGAGGAAGGGGAAGGGAGTTACTGAGGAACAGCAGTGAGAATGCAAGGAAGCAAAACATGAGTTTTGGGGATTTTTAAGCAAGACTTCTTTCAAAAAATATTTTTTTAGCACCACAACTAACTGCAGGATCCAATCGTTCCTATCTCCCCCTCATTTACATGCCATCGGTGCATATGAAATTCAAAGGATTATTTTTTCCCTCAGGAGTGTCACATGATTGTTGTTACACATTGGCTCAGCACTGCATCCTATGGAAGTATGATTCAGAGCTGAATTTTGACAGCAAGCAACAACTCTGATGGCTGACAAAGAAGAATCGAGCTGTCTACTGATGTTTGAGTGCAGTCTAATGTAATCTAATAAAAAGAGCAGCTAGAGCCTGAATTTGCATTTGAAATACCTTGGCTGTGTTTGGAGATGTGTTTCAATGGAAAAAGCTCATGAAGCTGCTCTGTAACTTCCTTTTCTGTCTGCTGATTGTGTTTCCTGTTTCTGCACAGTGGAAATCTTGAAACCCTGCCAGGAAGTAAGCCTTTTCCCCACAAGACTCAGTCTGCTGAGACTTGGTTGGGTGGGGACAGGGGGAAGCATGCAAAGAATTGCTGAATTCTCAGCAAGAAATTTGAAGGCTTAACTAGAGTTCAGCTGACACTTAGGGAGGCTTAATTCCAGGAGAGGGCCAGGACTGAAGACAAAGGATAGTGCTGGAAGGATGTTGGAAAGAGAAGCTAGCAGTATGCTTGCTTGAGGGACCAGGCTTCTCCCTGCAGCTGTTCTTATTCTTATGTAAAAGTTACCCTCTTTGCACACAATACATAAAGGAGAAGTAAAGTTAGCTCAGGACATGTTCTCATTCTGTTCTGCCTTAAGGGAATTCCAGCTAGCCAAACTAACCAGCTTCTTTCTTCTGGTTGTTTTCAAGACCTTGTGGCTTTTCAGTAGAGGGGGTTTATAAAAAAGATGGAGAGAGGCCTTTTAACAGAACCTGGTAGGATAAGGGGTGATGGGTTTAAACTGAAAAAGCCAGATCTAGATTAGCTATAAGGAAGAAATTCTTTAAAATGAGGTTGTTGAGATGCTGAAACAGGTTGTCCAGAGAAATTTCAGATTCCCCTTAATTGAAAATGTTTAGGTTGGAAGAGGCTTGAGCAGCCTGATGTAGTAAAAGATGTCCTTGCCCATGGCAGGTGGGCTGGAGAAGAAAGTCTTTGAAGGTCCCTTCTGACCAAACCATAGTCCTATCTGCTGACTGAACCCTCCTCACCCTGCCTTATTGCTGTCTGTTCTCAGAAGTCTTTCTGATTTAGAATGTATCTCAGAAGCCATTTCCCTTGTCTCCTTTCAAGATCTGCTCCAGCTTGAAATTAGACTAAGCACTGACACTTTGCCCAAGGTAATATCAGAGGTCTTTACCAGAAAGCAGATAAGGGAGGTAAATGACAGTGTTGGAAAAGTAGCAGAAAAATGTAAACCATCCCTTTCCAGCCTCTGAAGTGGCGCCTGAAGCAAGCACTGCTCTGAACTTCCATAGGCTGTGAATCAGGTTTTAATAGAAAAGTTTCTGTCTGTACTCTTCCCAATAATCTCTCAGACTATCAACATATTTTGTTTTAAAATTCCACTTTGCTTGTTCTTCTCCCTGACCCCAGCCTGATCCTTCTGTTTCTTCATGGACATGTCAATCGTCTGATTATTTTTATTGCTTTGTCTAAGGCTGCAACTCCCCAGTCTCATTTCTACAGGAACCTTTCCTAGTCTGAGATTTGTTCTAGTCCTAGCTTCCAACGGGGACTGACTTTGAAAAATGAGACATAGCTGCAACATTTGATATAGCAAATGCAGCTTAACCACAAGGGGCAAGTAGGGCAGAAAGCATTTTGTCCTGGACCGCAGGTTAAACTGGGCTAGGAACTGTGATATCTGCAAATGTGAGATGGTAGAATTACTAATAGACAAAGAAAGACATGAAAATATGGAGAGATAGTTAAGGAAGAAAGTTAAAAAATTAAAAAAAAAAAACTATAAATGTCTTGAAAAGGAAGCCTGTCAGCTGAGAATATGATATGGGGAAGGAGGAGTGCAACTTCCTTTTCGGTTGTTAGGTTCTCATTTTTCTTTTATGTCTCAAGATCTTCCATGGTGCCAGGACTGATTTCCTGGGCTAAGAAACTGAAGATCTCTTTTTTGAGCATTTCTGAGCTCCCAGGAATTCTCAGGTTATCACCAGTGTTTCCAGTGTTCAGCACAGCCTTCTTTGATGGGCAGAAGGTGAATGAACAGATGGGAAAGGCTCAGTAACCTATAAGTGTCACCCTCTGGAAACAAGGAGCTAAAAGGACCACCTTTTATGTGGCAAAACTAAGGAAAGGGTCACACTGATTAAATGGCATCAGAAATCACCTATGCTGAGGTGAAGTTCAAAAATGAATCACCGGCTCCAGTGGTCAAAGGTAAGGAATGAATGGGTTATTTGGGAGGGAGGGAGCAGGGCTGAAAAAGAGGCAATGGAGATTTTTCCTCCTGCGACTCTGGTTCCCACCTGATCTTGATGGATTGGTTAGAAAAATGAGCTAAATGCTCTGGAGACTGAAGGAGTTTTGAAATAAGAGTCTTGAGGAACGTCTCCAAGAGGAAAGGTGAATGGGAGTTGCAACATTAACAAGGATGAATACCGGGAGCACAAAGAGCAGGTTTCAAATGAGCATTCATTAACGAATCTGTTTGGCTCCCTCAGTACCCTACATGTTATGTAGTCTTGAAAGAGTCATTTTTGGACCATGCTGAGTACCAGCAGTAGAGACTGTGGTATATTACAAACAATCTTCTCTGTCACAAAGGTGGAGGGGCTCCCAAAGCAGCAAATAATCCCAAGTCCTGGCTGCTCTTGGCTCTGAGTGAGACTACAGATTGCTGCTTGTGGAGAGGGTAGAAGATTCAACATGCCTGCTTATAGTAGAGCAGTCAGTTGTACTCTGCAGCTTGAGAAATGGTACTGGCTGCAGAAACATAACCCCATTGCCCATGGCTGATTGAGAAATGGTCCTTGGAGAAGAGAGACCCAAAACTTGAACACCCTAAAATATACAGAAGAAGAATTATTTAAGATCTGGAGAGAGATTCAAATCTGTTATTGATGTCTTCCATTCCTGAAAAACGTTTAACACACCAAACAAACTATTAAAAGATATAATGGTAAAATGGTTCTTTTACTAGATCTCGTGCAAATCTAAAGCACATTCTGCTTAGTATGTATTCTGTAGTCATTATGCCACAAGCAGGAAATGTTCTATGTAAGGTTCACTGCTTCTGCCTGACATACAGGACCCTATACAACAGCAGGTTGTTACAGGGCAGTAAAAGTATGTGTGCATAAAGCAATGAATAATAATTATTTTTAAAAATTAAATTAGTAATTACTGCTGCCTAAGGATATTAGCTTGCCTATTTATAGCTTTACCTCAGTTTTACAATTCCAAACAGAGCAGACATTAGTTCCAGGTTATTCCTTGCCTGCTCTGAGGCATGACTCATGGAAATAAAGAATGTACATAGTCCTGTATGACTTGAGAGTTGACTGTTTTCAGTGCACCAAGATTAGTTGGCTCTGAATGTAATTAGCATTTCCACTGTGGTGAGGTGGAGGTTGTGGGAGTTCCCCATTGTGTTCCAAATGATTATTCCAAAGACATGAAGTCTGTTGTGTTGTGATCATGCTGGCCACATTACAGAGCACAGACCAGCTGTGGAAAGCATTTTGAAGGGAGCTCAACAAGTAGGTGGTTGGACTCCAGATCATGTGGGGGCTCCTGGTTTTCACTGAGGCAAAAGCTCTGACTAGAAAAACATTATTTGACCAGGGAAACTTGGACCTTGTCTGTCCCCACACATTTTCTCTCCAGATAATGAAAGAGTATGCCTTTTGCCCTGCTGTAGCAGTCTCTCCCAAGCCTTTGGGAAGTAGTCAGAAGGCTTCCACAAAGAGCAGGTTTCTGACAGTCTTTCTTACTAGACGTGTCTGGCAGGTACGCTTGGCTGCTGACAGACCTGGGACCTTTGTGCTGAACCATGAATGAAGGCTCTCTAAATCTTATCTTTAATAGCAGTCTCTCCCAAAACTACTTTACTCCTGTTCTGCAGTGAGTGCTGCTGTCTCTTTACTCTCCTATTTACCCTGGCTGGTGTATCTGCCACAAGCTAGAGCAATCCCTTAACACGTGTTTGCTTCTCCTTCCCCGTAACCCACTCTCCTGCCTGCTCCCAAACCTCAGTACTGGCAATATCCCTCTAGACAAAAATGAGGTCCTGGCAGATCTTAATCTGATTACTTTACTCAGGCTGCTGGACACAGTCCTCTCTTCTCCCCAGACATCCAGCCTAGCACAACCTAGTTTTATTACAGCAAATCTCTGAATCCTGACTTGGAAAACAGAGATGGGAGGAAAAAAATATATCTTTTAATCTCCCAATGATGATGTGCCACCATAGCCTTGCACATTTTTTGTCTCCCATCCTCACTCAGATTACACCAACATTCTGCACAGGAAGTCCAAAAAGCTAAGAAGGAACTGAAGCAGGCAGACAAAGTTTTCTGGGAAGAAGTCAACATGAAATCTTTCCTTGTATGTCTCAAGTATAACAGTCTGAGCAACGTTGCATTTGGTAGCTTTGGGCTCAATCTAGAAAGGCATTGTTTCACTTCAGATTTTGAGGCCCTGTGAAGAGCTCACCCCCAAACACCAATAATTATCATTGTTGGCTCACTGGCTGGTCTGAGAACACATTCACTGAATTTGACTTTTCTCCAGAAACCACAGACATTCCCTGCTCTGTCCCAGTCTGCCCTTCTCCAAAACCTTGTAACTTCCACATCAGAATTATTTTTTTTTTTCTTTTGTGGAGCACTCCCTTGAGTAGTACATCCTTGTAGTATATGTGGACTGTGGACTGGTGGACCCATAGTTGAGTGTGGTGTTTTGTTTGGTGTGTTTCTGTCACTTTTAGTACCGCCGGAGTCAAAGAAGCCTGAGCACCATCCCCAGAAATACCCACTCTGGCTGCCATGGTCCATCTCACTCCTGCTCCTCTTGGTGTGCTTTGCCCTTGTTGTCATCCTTCTTGGTGAGTATGTGCAGGAGATTATAAGGGAGAGGTATGGGGGAGTGCTGGGAGAAAAGTAGAGAAACCATGGTTTGTGTTTGTCTGGGCTTTGTGTAAGGTCTCAGGTTTTGCTACCCTGACTTTGTATATGTCTGCATACTTACCCCAGATCTGCCACTGTTTACTCTGAGGCTTTGTCAATGTGCCCAGATTGCACATTCCAGTCTTGCATGGCCTTTTTGGAACTCTGGAACAATTCTCTACCTTGATTCCCCACAAAAAGAACTCACATTTGGCAGATGGGAAAAAGTGGAGACAGAAGCACAAGTGTCTGTACAGGCAGCTGAATCTGCACTTAGGCTCTCTAAGGTGCTTGGATATGCTTTGTATCCTAGTGGAAAAAATGTCTTCTCACAGTCATGGCATATCCAGGATTGACTGTACAGTGTACAGTTAATTAACTCTCACAACTTTTTAGGGTTTATTGCAGAATAATTCATTAGGGGTTATTCCTGGACATGCTGTTTGTGAAGATTGTGATCATCGTTTCAGTCTAATTTTCTGTTAAAGATAATTAATGGCATGTTTGCACAAGTTGTCAATAACCACAATGGATTCTGGAAGAGGTATCTTATTACAATAAATCACTGCCTTTCCCTTTGCCCTTAGTGTCTGTGTCCCAGAAATTTATATTGCTTTGTTCCTAAATGTATAACCTTTCATAGTACTCAGCCAAATGGTTGGGGAGCTTCAGGCTGGAATATTAGCATCTGATACCTTGTGATACACATGGAAGGTTTAGTTTTTAGTGAAAATTTACTTATCCAAGTTAATTGACACTACACAGGATTTTGGTTTAGCAGAGAGATACAGCATTTAAATGAAACAGCAGTACAAATTGCATGTAGCAGAGCGTGGCCACTGCAATGCACAAATGGATCACAATACAAACATGATTTTAAATGTTGGTCATACAAGCATGGAGTCAGAGAATCATTAATGTTGGAAAAGATAGCTTAGGTCATGTAGCTAAATGACTAACCAACCACCGCCAAGCCCACCACTGAAACATGTTTCCAAGTGCTACATCTACTTGCCTTTGGAACACTACTGGGAATGGTGACTCCACCAGTTCTCTGAGCAGCGTGTTCCAGTGCTTGGCTACCTTTCAGTGAAGAAGCTTTTACTAATATCCAAACTAAATCTTCCCTGGCACAACTTCAGACCATTTCCTCTTGTACTGCTGGTTGTTACCTGGGAGAAGAAGCTGACCCACACCTGGCTACAACCTCCTTTCAGGGAGTTGTAGAGAGTGACAAGGTCACCATGAGCCTCCTTTTCTGCAGGATAAACACCACCAGCTCATTTAGCAGCTCCTTATAGGACTTGTGCTCCGACCTGTCCCAGACTCCACTGCCCTTCTCTAGACATGCTCTAACACTTCAATATCCTTCTTGTTATGAGGGGCCCAAACTGAACATAGTTTTGCAGTATGCTCCACATCAAGACATTGAGTATCCCCAGATAGCAAGACAAAATAGGGGACTTAAAGCCAGCTTAGGCTCATTGCTTTCTTCAGGTATGTTTTTGTTAGTCATTCAGTTTCTTACACTAATTTGGACTAAGATATACAATTGTTCTGTGCTGGTTTGTCTAACTAAGGAAAATGCTGGCCTCTTTTCTATCTCTAAAGGGATGAACATTTCCACAGTAGTCAAATCCCTCAGCTGATCTAAACCAAAAGTCACCTCTCTTCACATCTTTTCTCTTTGTGTAGCAACAAGGTGACCTTTATTGGCAATGGGAGTGGTCAGCCAGGCATTTCCATTACAGCAATTCACTAATCCGGCACCAAGGCCACTACAATTGTTCTGCTCCTAAGTCAAAATATTTCTAAATCAAATGATTGATGAAAATAGACATCTGGATCACTAAGCACACCCTGATCAGCTCCTAATCCATACTCCTGAGTGTCTGACTTACTAGGAAGTCCTTGGGTCTGTGGATGTGGCCTGTGACCAACAGTGCATTATTCCCCACAAATTGGGAGCTAGCAAGGCCTAGGAGTTGATGCTCCACCCTGGTTTCAGCAGCTCCCACTATGTGTGATTATCTTCACCTGGACTGTGTGTTGCTGATGGAACAGGCCCAGCTGATGGGTGACTCCTCCAAATGCCAGTTGATGCTCAGTTTAGGAAGAGACAGAGGGTGACAATGAGATGCTGCTTTGTAGACTGGCAGCTGGGCTCCAGCTGTGTGCATGGCAGAGTGGCTGTGGTTGGGTGGGATCAATCCTGCCATGTGTGGCATGTCCTCAGTGGGATGTGCTTCCAGGGGTCCTTCTGCTGACTTGGAAGACGGTCTCTTTCTGGCTGGGAAGGCAGCTGTGCCACTGGTTTGGGCCAGGAGAGGTGACAGCTGGGACAATGCTTGGTGGGGAAGTGGTGGCAGGAGAGTCCAGAGATGGGCCAGAGATGCTGTGTGAGGAGCTGTGAGGAAGGGGTAATCCTGCTGCCTTTCCTCTTCTTTTGCAGTGGTTCCCTTCTGCCACAGCACTGACCAGCCCACAGCCCTGCAGCAGCAGTTCTTGGAGTGGAATTGCAACTCAACGGTGCCACAAGGCACAGGTCAGTACTTGCAATGTCCCCTCTTCCTTGGCCTTAAGGCCTCAAGGAGGCTGTAGCAGGACAAGTCAAAGAACATCACCAAAAGAACTTTCTCGAGACCCATGAGCCCATTACAAGGATTTGTAATGGCTTTGGGTACACAAAGCTGACTTCTCATACCCCAAAGCAATGGGAAGAAATGTCTGTAGTATTCTGATTTTTCAAGCATTTTCTTGTCGCATTAAGAATTAAACATTCTGATCTTGTTTTCATAGTTGCTAATCACTTTCTCAGGAAAGGAACTATAAACATAGATGTTTATACATTCTATTAAAGAAACGTCTTCTGATGGAAGTTTCTTGCGACCAGTGTGATTGGGAAAGTGGTAACGTAACTATCCAAACACTGGCCATTGTTGAAAATCTATAAATATTGAAGTCACAGAATAAATCACTTCTTTTTCCTATCATTTCCTATCACTTCTATACATTGAGCCGTGTCAGTGTGAATCCTTTCATGTCCTACAGTGACACTTTCTGTCAGGAAAAGTCACTAAGGAGGACATGAGCTGTGTCCCTGGAAATTGTGGATCTTTGCAATCACCATCTCTTGTTAGTAGGCTTCACCTCTCTGTCCTCTCCCTGCACAGCACGAGGCTGGACATGCTGCCCAAAGGGCTGGAAAAGGTTTCAAAGAAGCTGCTATTTCCTGTCCTCTGACACAATGAAATGGGCTGAGAGTGAGCAGAACTGCACTGGGATGGGCTCCCAGCTGGTGGTGATCAACAGCAAGGAAGAACAGGTACGTGCACAGGGCTGAGACAGGGATCCAGCAGGCAGAGACACAGTGATGGGTCCTGGAGGGGACTCAGAGCTTCTCCTTGTCCTGCAGGTAATGGGGAATGTCCTGTCTGCACCTCTGCAGCACCAGCCCCCTCTGCCACCAGCCCCACCCCACAGGGACTCCTGATGTCTCCCTGTGCTCAGACCTGCTCCTCACTGACATTATGCCCTGTCTCTCTCATTGCCAGGTTTTCCTCTCCATGCTAATAAAACAACCTCCTAGAAGAGAGAATTTCTACATTGGTCTGTTCGCAGAGAAGGTGGGCAAGTGGCAGTGGGTGGACAAGACTCCATATAATGTGACAGCAGCGTGAGTATCTCTGGATGAAGAGTGTTTGGTGTAATTCCTGATAGGGAAATAAAATAGGAGAGATGTGAGAGGTTCAGCTGGTGCTTGAGAGGGGGTTGTCACCAGAGTTCCTGGTGAGAGATCAAAGATACAGCAGGAGAGGGCTGTGTGGTACACCAGGTTCACATGGCCCCATCTGTGCTGATTATTGGTTATGAATTAACTAACTGTGACATGGAAGTCAAGGCTGTAGGCATAGAAAAAACTTCAACTTGCTGGCAGCAGGGACCTTTCAGAAGCCTGATTACCAGCCTGGCCTGACCTCCATTCACTGCACCTGTATGCACAAAATGGCTTGTGCTGGAATGCAGGGAAAGAGATGGAGCTAAGGGAGAGAGCACCAGGACTGTCCTTGCTGTGTCCTCTTCTGGAAAACAAACTTGCTCTGGAGGCTGACACGGGCCTCAGCTGGGTGTGAGGTGCCTGGGGTCAGTGGTGGTGATCTGTTCCCCCCAGCAGGATGGAGGAGGGACCTGTTGTGCTGTAGGGAAGAGGAAGGTTTCCACGTGACACTGGGGCCAGTGGAATATGGAGTGGAAGAGCACTACTTCTGTCCATGAAGCAGCATTGGAAATTTCTGTCTCTTTCCTTCAAGTCTTGCATCCCATTGCAGCCTTTTCCAGCAGTGCTTTAC